TTATTAGAAGAACATTTAATTATCTTGACTTGTTACCTTCTTTTTGATTATATTGACAACTTATTTCATAACCTTCATTCTCTTTAGTCAATTTTTTCTTACATTTTTATCTTTGTTTTGTATTGTTATTTGAAGAACATTTAATCATGTTTATTCTATTCAATCATTTTTCTTTGGTTTTCATTCTTGTTTAGCAATGTCATTAGAAGAATATTTAATCATATTCATTAGTTACATTCTCTTTAACTACTATATCAACAACTCATTTCATAATCTTTATTCTCTTTAGCTAATTATTTTCTTTTCCTTTTCCATTTCCATTTCCTTTCCTTTTCATTTTTGTTTGGCACTGCTATTAGAAGGAAATTAATCATGTCCATCGCTTACATTGTCATTGATCATGTTGACTACAACTTCATTTCTATGAGTTTCCGTTTGATCATCCCTTGAGATCTCATTTCATAGCCTTATTATGTTTAATGCATGATGTTATGTCTTGAATCTTCAAGCAATATCTTAGTCAATACATAACATTACATCATCATCTTTTTCCACCTACTATGACGATGTGGTCACCAACTGCGAATTCTCATCTTTGTAATGTGTTCTATATATCTACTCAACCACAATGGTGTTTAATAATCATTAACAACATCCAGTTTATTAAGAATCACCTAAGATTATCGAAGTGAGATTTTTTTGGCCTCTTATTCTTAGAACATTTGTTGGTTAGTCTTATATTATAAGAACATTTATTGTATATTTTTATCTTGGAGAAATATAAAAACAATGTTGTTTTAGATGCATTTATAGTGTAAAAACTTATTTATTTTCATGTAATATAACTATTCGTTATTTGTGGAGAACTAAGTCACGAAACTCATTTTAAATGTTGAAGTTGTAACTTCCTTCAATGAATATAATCATATAATTAACTTATATATATTGAAGTTGTAACTTCCAAAAAAGTTTTGTAATCTCTAAGTATTTTTTTTATGTATTTTTATGATTTTTAGGGTTTTTTTTAGGGTTTTTTATTTTCCATATATAGGGTTAGGTTCATGTGAGACGGCCTAATTTTGTGAGACCGTGAGATGCATTTTTTTATTTTTTTTATTGTTTTTATTTTAAAATTTTTTTTTTAGTTAATTCAAGTTCCGAAAATAATATGTAAAAAAAGAATTTTTTGATTTTTCCATTTATTTTGCATTTTAAAATTATTTTTAGAATATGTACAGTGTAATATTTTATTTAGAATATTTCACGTATTTTTAAAAAAAAAATAGGATTTTTTATTTTTATTTTTTTAGTTAATTCAAGTTCCGAAAATAATATTTAAAAAAAGAATTTTTAGATTTTTTCATTTATTTTGCATTTTAAAATTATTTTTTAGAATATGTCAGTGTACTATTCTATTTAGAATATCTCACTTATTTTTCAAAAAAAAAAAAAAAAAAAAAAAACGGGATGATTTATAATTTTTTTATAATTTTTTTTTATTTAATTCAAGTTCTGAAAATAATATTTAAAAAAAGAATTTTTGGATTTTCCCATTTATTTTGCATTTTAAAATTATTTTTAGATTTGATCTCACGGTCTCACAAAAGTGGAATGGTCTCAAATGAACCTGAACCTATATATATATATATATATATATATATATATATATATATATATATATATATATATATATATATATATATATATATATATATATATATACACAAGATCTGATAGTAACATATATGCATATTTTGGAGACACTTAGTTGTTACCAAGTCCTTTCAACGACATTGATGACATAAGTCTTAACACATAATGGATTTGGTCTAGGGATGTCAATGAGGGCAAACGGGACGGGGATTGCATCCCCCGCCCCCGCCCCCAAAATTTTCCCGTTCCCCCGCTCCCGATTGATTTTGGGCTAACTTATTTAGGCTAAAATAAGTTTTTGTTTGGGATAAAAGAAACTATTTTTTAGGTAACAAATAAATATTTATAACATAATTTTACATGTTACAAACAACTTAAAAACATGTTTTTTGTTGAATTTTTGTACGTAAAAATCATTTTACTGTTTATTATACTTATATAATTAATATATGTCAATTTATATAATTTGTTAATGGGGCTCCCACGGGGGTTTCGGGATGGGACTACCAACCCCCGTCCCCGCCCCCGAAATTAAAACGGGGGTTAATCTTGCCCCCACCCCCGCCCCCGTCCCCGTTTTTTTTCAACAAATGCCCCCATACGGGACGGGGCCCGCATGGGATCGCGGTCCCACGAGACTTTTTGACATCCCTGAAAGGACCTTAGATCAATCGATTTATCAAACAATGACTAATAATAAGAACAGAACAACGAAATATCACAAAGAGCTTTCACTAAGAATGATAATCTCACAAAGAGATTATTGTTCGCACAAAGCGACTATTAGGGTTTGTGAAAGACAACCCCTTCACAAACCCGTACAAAAGATTATATAGAACTATTATCGACAATCCCTACAAATCAGGGATGTTCCAGCTAACTAATATATGATAACTATGGAAACAAGATAAATACTAAATCTGGTACATATAAGACAATATATATACTGAACAACTTTTATGCTGACACTGATGCTGATGCTGACGCTGATGCTGATGGATCAGTTTCAAACATCATCAAATTATAAGGTTCGACCTTACAATCTCCCCCAATATGATGATGTTCAAAACAACAGCTATACGAGAACACCTCTGGACAAAAATTCTTCATACTCAGCTTCAGCTTCTATTTTCACAGGCCAGTAAGGACTATCCAACAGCTCCTATCTTCTATTCAGCAGCTCCATAGCAATCAGTATGTGAAACTCTCCAGATAGATCTTGATGACTCATGCACATTTGTCTTAAGCCAACAAGATGTGCTGTTGGAGCTCTTGGAATTTCTATGGTGTGCTGAAAGCACATTCTTCTGTTTTTATCGAGATAAAACATTCCATGTTCAGGAACAGAGATGAACTTATGTTGAACTGGCTCAACACCGATAGGAAGAGAGTTGTTTATTCCTTCAACACCAAAATTTAGAACCAACACATCTTCACTATCAACTTGAAATCTGGTCCTTCGGATTCTAGGAACTGAGGAACTTTGGCCTTGCTGCTGAGAGTGCTGTATAGGAACAAGATCCAAGCGCTGAACTTTCTTGATCAGTAGATGGAGAGCACATGTCAGTTCTGAAGAGAGAGCTGAAGTTTGCTTGGATGCTAATTCGAGCAATTCCATCCATTCAGAATATCCGTATTTGATCAGCTCATCCCTCTTGACAACTTCAGTGTATGGATGTTGAGGACCTTGACGAGTGATCAGCAATGTAAGAATTTTCTCATTACGAGGTTTAGAAGCTTTAACTTTGATGATTTTATCACTTCTCACTCGTCGTTTAAGAACATCTTGAAACCTCTTTCGATCAATCCTGTCCAGAACATTTTCAGTCCTTGACTTGCTGCTACTGAGAGGAGGCTGGGAAGATTTGGATTTGGACAGATATTCTAAGAACTTCTGCATTTGAGCTTCAAAGGATCCTTTGGCCTGAGTTGATGCTGAATGAGAGATTCATCAGCTTGAGCAATATTCTTTAGAAGCCGAGCTTGATTGGATTCATCAAGAATTTGCTTAACTTGATCAGGAGACATGTTCCATTCAGCTGCCAAGTTGGATATGCTGACGATGGACTTAGGTTTCTTGCTAGGCAGAGAAGTATCAGTGTGTGAAGATGCCAATTCAGTATCTGCTGCCTTTCGCTTGCGAGATAGAGGTTGAGTATCCTCACTAGCTATATCTGAATCTTCTCCTTGAACTGGCATAATGGGATCAATGAATTTCATATCTAGCATTTGACATTCATCATCATGTTCATCTTCATTATCCTCTAAGGCTTCTCCTTGAGCTGGAATAGTGGGATCAATGAAGTTCATGTCCAACATCTGACACTCATCATCATGTTCATCATCATGCTCACTATCTTCAACAATCTGTTCAGTATCTGCTGGTCTATAATGGACTCATCAGCAGCTGGTCTATCAGACTCGTGTATCGGGTGTGGTGGCTCAGTCTGGACTAAAGTGTTGTCCGCAGATCCAAGCTCAACAGATTCAGTGTCTCCCTCTTTTGGATCATCATCAGTGTCTCCCCCTTTTTGATCATCATCATTTTGTGGGCTACGGGAAGGAGTTGGCAAGAGAACTCCCTTCAGCTGATGTACATCGGCCTTAATTCGTAGAAGACGCTGACTCATGTCCCGAGTCAGTGTTATAAGCTCATTAAATGCTGAGGCTGGTATATGAAGGAATGAAGTACCTGGAACTTCTTGTGAGTGAGGTTGCTCCCTCGGAGAAGGTTGGTCCCCTTGGGATGGGTTCTCCCCCTGGGATGGTTGCTCCCCCTGAGATGGTGGCTCCCCCTGGGATGGTTGCTCCCCCTGAATTAGTGGCTCCCCTTGAGCTGAGTGAACTCTCTCAGTGACAAAGAGAGTATGATGAGAAAGTTGAGGGGAGAGATGACCACCATCCTGTGATTCAGCTTCTTGATCAGCATGATCTTCGTTGTTACCATCAGCTCCTTCATCAGTATCAGCGATTAGTGAAGGAACAGTATATGAATTTGCAATCCATTCTCTCATCCGATCAGAGATGCCGATGTCAGTTTCCAACGGATCATCCTGATACATTCGTACTAACATGCGTGGGCATTGGATGGGGTTTCCAGAGTGTGAGTAGTAAGCTTCAGCGAAAAATTTATCTAGCACAAGAGCAATCCAGCGTGGAAAGGGGACATGATTAGCGCGTACACTTGCACGAAGAAGTTAAACAAGTTGATCAAAGAAGAAAGCCCCATAATCAAGTCGTTTGTTGAGAAGAAGGGAACAGACGACTTGTTGCTCATAAGTGCTCAGTTTATCACCACTGCGAGATTTGTGACCCACACATTTGCACAGAGCACCGGTGACGAACTTCTATCCTGGAGTCATACATTGATGCATAATGAGAGCTGATCGAGTACCAGCCTTTGAGTGATCATATCTCAGTTGATCAAAGAGACATCGACAACGTACAATAGGTGGAAGCTCAGAGAAGGGTTTAAAGATTGGTAACCTGAGCGCAACACTGAGGAGGTCAGCGGTAATAAAGACTGAGTGTCTTCCACGGCCAATAGTCCCGGAGATGACGTTGTTTTCATCATTAATTGTTGCAGTGTAGTAGAACTCACAGACTTGTTCAGGAAAGAACTCTGATGGAACGTCACTGATTGCGTATCGGAGTCGGCAGGAGACTAAGAAATTAAAAAAATCATCAAGTCCAAGACCTCGATGAACACCTGGAATATCAGGGTTGAAAACTATGTTTGTGGCTTTCATGTATATGGGAAGAGGAGGAGAGTTTGGAGCTGGGACGACTCTTCTTGAAGTGGAGGAGAAGGTGAACAGTGATGCCGCCATTGAAGAAGTTTAGGATTCTAGGTTTTTTTTTTTTTTTTTTTTTTAATTTTTTTTTTAATTTTTTTTAAGAGAGAGAGAAGATTGGAGGAAGGTAAAAAGGTTTGGGGAAGAGGTGAAAAGGTTTAAATAAGGAATGAAATGGTAAAAAGTAATGATTATCTTTAGCCAAAGTAACTGCGTATCTTGCCAAACTGTCAAATAAAAAAAAATAGCCGTTCGGTAAATAGAGCCGTTGTACGAAAGAGGAAACGACAATCAGTGATTGCGGAAGCGCTGAGATTGCTATCACGGAAAGTTACATGCTGAAAGATAGTTTGTCGTCAATTTAAGGTACAACTTGCTTGTTTAGGGTTAGCAAGGTGATTGGTGCGTGTAATAGATACTAGTTTAATTATCTAACCATCAACACAAAGTGTCGAGTCTTTATCAGTGAGTGGTATTTCTTACTGAATCATTAGACACTGAGTGAGAAGAAGGTGAAGAGAGGATTGTTGCGTGTGATGGACACTGGTGTTTTGGTCTAACCATCGGCAATGATTGTTAGATTCTCATCAGCATGTGTTTTGTCACACCGAATCACAGAATCAGTGTAAGATTGGTAAGAGTGGATAGTTGCGTGTGATAGAACTTGGTGTTTTGTCTAACCATCGGCAAATACTGTCAGATTCTCATCAGCATGTGTTTTGTCACACCGAATCACAAAATTAGTGTAAGATTGGTAAGAGTGGATAATTGCGTGTGATAGAGCTTGGTGTTTTTTCTAACCATCGGCAAAGAGTTTCAAGTTGTTATCAGTGTATGGTTTAATACAGTGAATCATTCAACTTTAGTTTAGAAGATTTGTAGAAGAGAAAGAGATAAGAGATCATACAATGTACTCAGCATGCTAAACATCATCAGTGCATCATCATCAGTAAAAAAAATATTAGAGTATAAGACAATAACAAACATTAGTAAAACAATTTTTCAATCGAGAGTGATCATTCCAAGTTCGCCAATAATGTGAGCATTAGTTTGAGTATCCAGGGCCTTGGTGAAAATGTCAGCTAGTTGATTGGAAGTCTTGACATGCTGTAAAACAACCTTGCCCTTCTCAACATTGTCTCTGATGAAGTGATGTCTGATCTCTATATGCTTTGTCTTTGAGTGCTGAACCGGATTCTGTGTGATCTGAATGGCACTGGTGTTGTCACAGAATATAGGAGTCTTTGTGAATTTGAGCCCATAGTCTAAAAGTTGATTTTGAATCCATAGGATTTGAGCACAACATCTCCTAGCTGCAAGATACTCAGCTTCTGCAGTGGAGATAGCTACTAAGGTTTGTTTCTTGCTGGACCAGCTGATTAGTCGATTTCCAAGGAAGTGACATCCACCTGACGTGCTCTTCTTGTCTAAGTTGCAACCTGCATAGTCGGAATCAGTGTATCCAAAGAGTTCAAGTGCTGAGTCACGAGGGTACCACAGTGCCAAGTTCCGAGTGGCCTTTAAGTATCGAAAGATGCGTTTGACTGCAATGAGATGAGACTCCTTGGGATTAGCTTGGAATCTAGCACAAAGAATGGTTCCAAACATGATATCAGGGCGACTTGCAGTGAGGTAGAGAAGAGATCCAATCATTCCTCGATAAAGAGAGTGATTAACATCAGCGCTGGTGGGATCAGCGTGTAGCTTGTCATTCTTGGACACCGGAGTAGAAGCCGGTTTGCAGTCGCTGAGAGAATACTTAACTAGCATGTCAACAATGTATTTACTTTGACAAATTGGAATACCTGATTTTTGTTCCTGAACCTCATGACCTAAGAAGAAAGTCATCTTCCCCATCATACTCATTTCGAACCTTTGAGACATGATCTCAGCGAATTCTTTGCTCAACGTCTCATTTGGAGATCCAAAAATGATGTCATCGACATAGATTTGAACAAGAATCAGTTATGAGCCTTTCTGTTTGATGAAGAGAGTATTGTCAATTGCTCATCTTCTATGGCCATTTTCAAGAAGATATGATGTCAGTGTCTCATACCAGGCCCTGGGAGCTTGCTTCAGTCCATATACAGCTTTATCTAGTCCGTACACATAGTCAGGGTGCTCTTTGTCTTCAAAGCCTGGGGGCTGTTTCAGAAATAATTCTTCTTGTAACTCACCATGAAGAAATGCTGTTTTGACATCCATTTGGTAGACAATGAAGTTCATGTATGAGGCATATGTGAGAAACAGTCTGATTGCTTCAATGCGAGCAACTGGAGCAAAAGTCTCCCCGTAGTTGATGGATTCAATTTGAGTGAACCCCTGAGCAACAAGCCTTGCTTTATTGCGAGTAATGATGCCATCTTTATCAACCTTGTTGCGGTAGACCCAGCGTGTTCCGGTGATGGTCTTTCCTGATGGTTTGGGAACAAGGGTCCAAACCTTGTGCCTTTCGAACTCGTTTAGCTCGTCTTCCATGGCTTTAATCCAGTCAGCGTCTTGAAGAGCTGTGTGTATCTTGTCAGGTAAAATCATTGAAACGAAATTAACATACATGCAAAAATTATTAGATACATGAGATCTGGTTCGGACACCATCATGAAGATTCCCAATAATTTGATCAACATGGTGATCTTGATGTCCAGAAGCTGATTCCACTGGATTTGATGCTGAAGTGTTATTGCTGAAGGGAACATCAGTTGCAGGAGGGTCTTCATTCTCAAGAGTTTCATTAGTATCAGACAAATGAGTTGTCGAGCTAACTATAGTATCTTGATTCAAGGAACTTGGATCTGGAATGATAGGATCAGGAATAGTAGCTTCTTCTTCAGCATGAGAAACTTCATCATATGGGAAAGAGAGAAGCACTTGAAAAATAGAGGAAGAATGAGCTACTTTTTCATCAGTGTATGATTCCTCATCAAACTTCACATGAATGGATTCTTCAATGCACTGCCTGTTCACATGAAAAACACGAAAAGCATTTGAAATAGATGAGTACCCAACAAAATACCTTTGTCAGCCTTAGGCTCAAATTTTGATCTTGGATCACGTTGATTAAGAATATAGCAAATGCATCCAAACACGTGAAAGAAGGATACGTTCGGCTTTCGATCTTTCAACATCTCATATGGTGTCTTCTTGTGAATCCTGTGAATTAGAGATCGATTTTGAGTATAGCATGCTGTATTAACAGCTTCATCCCAAAACGACATAGGAAGACCAGCGTGAATCATTAAGGTCCTTCCTGCCTCAATCAGTGTTTGATTTCTTCATTCAGCAACTCCATTTTGTTGAGGAGTGCGAGGAGCTGAAAAGTTTTGCCCAATGCCTTTATAATCACAAAATTCTTCAAGAGTTGAATTCCGGAACTCAGTGCCATGATCACTCCTTAGCTGCTTAACTTTGAGACCAATCAGTGTCTCATTTTTACGAATCAGCGAGATAATTTCCTGTGCAACATGATTTTTCTTCTTCAAGAAAACCACCCATGTAAATTGAGTAAACTCATCCACAACCACTAGAGTATACTTGTTTCCTCCTTGGGAACGAATATGAATAGGTCCAAACAAGTCCATGTGTAGTAAATGAAGAGGAACATATATGCTAGAACATGACTTGGGTTTGAATGATGACTTGGTTTGTTTTCCTTGTTCACACGCTGAGCCCATCTTGTCTTTGACAATGCTGAGTTTTGGGAGACCTCTAACTAGATCTTGATTGAATATTTTGGATAGATTCTTAAAGTTCAAATGAGAGAACCTTTTTTGCCAAATCCAGCTGAGATTGGTTTGAGACTGTGTAAAGAAACATTGCATCAGTGCCTTGTCACTTGAGAACATGTCAAGAACATATATATATATATATATATATATATATATATATATATATCATCTTTTCTACTTGCTGAAAGTACGATGTTCTTGTCAGTGTTAACAACTCTTCCTTCCTTCTTTGTAAAGTGAACTTCATAATCAACATCACACAATTGGCTGATTGCGATAAGATTGTGTTTGAGACCCTTTACATATGAAATGTTCTGAAACACCACGTTATTGCACTTGATATTTCCATATCCTTTAGTGAACCCCTTTCTATTGTCTCCGTATGTTACTGCAGGACCAGTTTTCTTGACATAGTCTTCCAGGAGAGACTTGGATCCTGTCATATGTCTTGAGCAACCAGTATCTAAGTACCAAAGATGCTCCTGATCCTGCAGTGCTGAGAAACTAGTTAGAACACACTGACCCATTGGAATATGGGTCATTCACAAAGTTATTTGACAATATATTATAACACTCTTTAGGAAGACAGTTTAAAGAATTTGATTTAAGAGTTCATTTTTCATTTCTAACTTTGATTTTATCAGCTCTTAATGATGTTTTATCAAACTTGCATTCACTGATTTTGTGAGTCGAATCACCACACCTGGAGCAAATTCTAGTACCAAAGTTTTTCTTGGTAAAAGAATTTTTAGATTTAACACATTTATATTTGAAAGATTCACCAAGTGAACTTTGAGTCCTTTTATTTAACATTGAATTACTAAAGAATTCAGTGTCAGAAGAACTACAATTAGTGATGGATGAGGAGCTGACATCAGTATCAGATTTAGACTTATGTACTGAAACACTGCAATCAGGATATTGTTCAAGTTGTTCATGAACAGCATGAAACACTCTGTTTGAGATAGGAAATGCGATGATATTTTCAGTGAGAGGAGTTGGTCTCACAAGATGTGCAGGATAAGAAGTAGGACCAATTCCAGTAATTTCAATATTACACTCAGTAACACCATTAGAGTCAGTAACACAGTGTTCATCAATGAGACTCTGATTAATAAAGGTGTTGCTGATAAATGTGTTTTTGAAACTATCTTTTAATTCATTTATGGAATAAAATTCAGATTCCTTTTCTTGAGATTTAAAAACCTTTTCTGCTTCAGCAAAATTTCCCCCAAGGATTTTCTCACATGAGTGAGATATTTGAGCAAAAATAACATAATTAGCATTTTTTGTGAGATTTAGCCCAAAGTT